TCGAACAAATTAACTCCACTTGGCAGTCAAATAATATGTTATCTTCTCCTCGATCTCTGAAAAGACAGATACTCACAAAAGTAGATCAAAATCTACCTGTCTAACTTGACTGTGTATATGGTCGGTTCAGCTTTCCTAATTTTCCAATTATTTCACCTCCTAGCTGGCGACAGAAGTCATAGCTCGCAAGTACAAGTAAAGTTTCCCTCAACTACGTACTGTCTCTATCAAATCAAACGAAAAATTAAAAAAAGAAGAAAAAACGGAACTGCATGAAAAAGAGACTTGTGGCAGAAAATTAAATTGTGTACTTTTCTTTTCTAATTTGGCTTATAAAAGAAAACTTAGAAATATCGTTACTGAAAAATTGAAATTTGAAAAAGGTGTTATTGACAAAAAGAAACTTTTTCTTTGGTTCCACAAAAAACCCAATGGCTTTTAACTGCACAATAATTGACAAATTTCCAATTAATCGCTCTCGTGTTTTGAATTTATTTATTTTTATTGGAACATTTTATGGAAAACCACGAACAAAAAGACTGCGGAATACTACTTTTCTTGATACAACATAATTACAATAATTAAAGGTTTCTCGTACTGTTATGCAACTTGCAACCTCGGCCCCTTTTCCCTTGGTTGAAAGCAATTAGTAAAATTAAAGTCATCTAACAAGCCAGTCAGCCACCCTTTTACTGATTTGTTTATTTCAGCCATCCAATTAAATGCATAAAATTAATTAATTAATCTCAACGAATGAGCAAATCGTTGACTAGTAATGGATAACATGCCACCCATTGGTTATTACAACCAACCCACTTCTCAGCTTCTATATAAGGCAATCAATTTAGAACACGAACCCACACAAACCAGCCTTCTATATATCACATACATTTCTTCAAATTAAATCCATTTTTCACTTGCCACCCAATACCTTAATTCAATAAGCCATATATATATCTATGGCTAATCGAATTATGCTAATATTTTTATTTGTGCCTTCCTTCTCTCCTCACCCATTTTGGGGTACAATCACGATGAGGTAAAGTCTTGGTGTAGCAAAACGCCTAATCCACAACCATGTGAGTATTTTTTAGGCCATAACCCAAAAAACACTCCCATTAAACATGAGTCCGATTTTCTCAAAATTTCTATGCAACTAGCATTGGACCGTGCCATGCAAGGTAAAGTCAACACGTACTCCCTGGGCTCAAAATGTAGAAGCGGGAGCGAAAAGGCTGCATGGGAAGATTGCCTTGAGCTCTATGAAGAGATCATTCTTTGGCTCAACAAAACTACCAGCACCAAGTGCACAAAATATGATGCACAAACTTGGCTCAGCACGGCTCTAACCAACCTAGAAACATGCCGAACCGGGTTCACTGAATTCGGGATGACTGACTATATTTTGCCTTTGATGAGTAATAACGTGTCTAAGTTAATTAGCAACACTTTGGCTATAAACAAGGTGCCATATAGTGAACCTAGTTACAGAGATGCGTTCCCTTCATGGGTCAGGCCTGGTGACCGGAAACTTTTGCAATCATCTTCGCCAGCTTCTCAGGCAAACATCGTGGTGGCACAAGATGGGTCAGGGAACGTCAAGACCATTAAGGAGGCCGTAGATGCAGCATCGAAAAGGTCAGGGTCAGGGAGGTATGTGATATATGTGAAGGCAGGGACATACAATGAAAACGTTGAGGTAGGAAAAAAAGTGAAGAATGTTATGGTTGTGGGTGATGGTATAGGAAAGACAATTGTCACCGGTAGCAAAAGCGTTGGAGGAGGTACTACAACTTTCAAGTCAGCTACATTTGGTGAGTATCCCTAATCGATTCATAAAGATTTTCAATCAATTTGTCTTAATTAATAACCTAGTTAAGATTTTTATACCTTGTTAAGATATTAATGGAACTAGTTATACGTGGCTGGAAAGTTTTGATACATAGATATTGCTTTAGTTAAGGTGACACGGGAGAAAAAAAGTTGGTGGTGGGGGAGTTTTCAATTCATTTAAAGGGAAAAAAATGTATGCAGGAATAACGCTGGAGCGATTAATATATACCAAGTGTTCTTAGAGTCAATCCCATCCAAAAAGAAAAAGTAGAGGAAAATTAAGAATTAAGAGACGATTATCTCAATTGTACAAATCATGGTTCATTAAATCTCCCATTAGATTGAAAACTACGAAGTTGTGGAATATGAAATTCTAGAAAGACCTTTGCGAAGTTTCAAATGACCTGTGAGACGTACTTAGTTTTGCATGTCATCTTGAAAATGACAAAATTGGTAATTAAAATTTTGAATCTTTTTGAACCTGTCTATGATATTAGGGATCATACGGTATCTACATAGGTTTGGATGGTCCTTCATTCTAAAAGGTAGCCAATAGGTTTTTGATTGCGTTGAGAGGAAGAAACAACATTATTTTGGGCAATTACTAGCTAGAAGTCTAAGCTAGGGGTTCCCCACTCAAAAGTCTTGTACCTTGATTCCATGCCTAGAGCTAATTATTTTAGTGCCACCATAGATTGATCAATTAATAAACAATATCTTTGTGCCATTAATCATCATACTGTACGAATATTGTTTATTAATTTACAATATAGCTCTAAAGTTTGCTTCATCAGACTGATAGTGAAACTTTAATGCCATGGAAACTTTCTTTCAAAAGACCAGATAGCGATTGTCAATAAAAATTGGTTCATTATATATTTTAATCATTATGATTTAACTCCGCTAATGGTTAGTCAAATATATCCTATACGGGCCTTCAGTTAAAACTTTGCTATAATCCGTACATTTACAAACTTGGTCAGATAGTGTTGATTAGTGGGTTTACTTGGTCATATTGAGTTCATAAAAAAGTTAATTAAATTAAATAGTTAATTTCGGTATTTTTTATTTTGCAACAAGTTTATTTATTTATTATGCTTAGACCATTATAATTGCAATGATTTACTGACCATTAATTTGAATGAAAATAATTACTGAAATCCACTATCGTTTTGAATATTTTCAGCCGTCGTTGGAGATAATTTTATTGCTCGGGACATGACATTTAGAAACACAGCCGGTGCTAAGAATCACCAGGCAGTTGCCTTGCGTTCCGGCTCCGATTTCTCGGTGTTCTACAAGTGCAGCTTCGAAGGATATCAAGACACTCTCTATGTCCATTCTCAGAGACAATTCTATAGGGAATGTGACATCTATGGTACTGTTGACTTCATCTTTGGCAATGCTGCAGTTGTTTTGCAAAATTGTAACATCTATGCACGAAACCCTCCTACCAAGACCAATACCATTACTGCTCAAGGTAGGACGGACCCTAACCAAAACACAGGAATTTCAATTGACAATTGTAGGGTAACTGCTGCTTCCGAATTAAAGCCGGTCCAAAGCTCCGTTAAGACTTACCTTGGTAGGCCATGGAAAGAATATTCAAGGACTGTTTTTATGAGAACATTCCTTGATGGCTTGATTAACCCAGCTGGTTGGATGCCGTGGAGTGGAAATTTTGCTCTTAATACTTTATATTATGGAGAATACATGAATACTGGCCCTGGCTCATCTACTGCCAATAGAGTTAATTGGAAAGGCTACCGAGTCATCACTAGTGCATCCGAGGCATCACGATTCACCGTGGGCAGTTTCATTTCCGGAAAGAATTGGTTGCCGGCCACCAACGTGCCATTCACCGCCGGCCTTTAATTATTCGTTCAGATTATATGATTAATTAAGGGGCTTTTATTTTCATATTTTCTTTCTGGGGTATAGTAATTTGAATTTCTTTTGGCACAAAAAAAATAAATAAATAAATTGCCATTTGCAGAAGAGAGGAAGAATAAGGTGTTTATCATGTATATTTCAGCTACTGTAGTTTTCATTCTTTGTGGAATTTTTAGTAAACAATAATTATGATTTTTCATTCATGTAATTGTAATTTGTAATTGCAATTAGGGGTGGAGATTTTACAAGAAATATTTTTTGTGTTATCCATGTATCATGTTTTGTTTTAAATATATAAGTAATAATTAAAGGTTTAAAGCTCATTAGACCTTAATGGTGGAATAAGCATATCCATAGGAAACGAAAATGCAAAATTAAGTTAAAGTGAGGATTTCTAATCTAGCTATATAAATATTAATTAAAGTCTTGTGTTATTCATATATAGAAAAAAAATTATAAAAAATTGACAAGACTAAATGGAATTTTTTTTTCCTCAACGACAACTGTTTTTTTGACAATTATTAAAACACTTAAACAATTATAATAAAAAATATATATCCCATTAATTTTCACTGTACTTAAATATACTTAATTTATCTTATATATTTTTCTAGAAATATGTTATTTTAATGCTGACCTTTTGGATTTTATGTATCTTGATATTATTTGTTCTTTTTATTAATGTTCCTAGCCTGACAAGAGTTTTACACACACATGTATATACAACTTACGTGTTTAATCTTCTATCAGTAACTTGGTCAATCGATGCTAAAGCCAACCCATACCTAATTAATATTCAATAAAATTGTAAATTATGAAGGATTAGTCAGATGGTGATAAAGATACTTATTTCTTCTTTTATTTTCCAAATTTAATTAAATTTTGAAATCAGCATTTAAAAGATTTTTTTTTAAATATATCAAACCCATGTATATCAACTGAGAAAATCGCTAATTTTGGTCATAAGTGTTAGTAATTAATAAATAAGAACTTTTTTCTACAACTGGACGCTAAAGCATGTGAACAAGTTGATTTAAGTTTGAAAAACTTATCCCCTTTGAGTTTCTCTTTCTTCATTTTTCTATTTTACAAGTAGCGAATTGAGAAATCAAACATTAGCAGTATCTTAAAATTCAACCATATATAGGTACTTTATCACATCAAATAGAAGATTATATATGATGTTAACTTACCTTTAAACTATAATATCAAGTAGGAAAAACATTTCTTCTAGGAAAAAAAAATCTAATATTGTTAAAACTTTAGAAGTAACCATGAGGTACAATATGCGATATGATAAAAAAGGGAACATTACAGAACATATTTAAGTTCATGAATCAGGATATTTTTCTACTATTTTATTTGTTCTAATCGTTATTTATTAAATTTTTCATTAATATCATTTTTTAACTTTATGTTTCGTCACTTCGTTCTTCCGTGCAATTTTTAAGGTAACATCCTTAAATTTCAGCAGAAGAAACACAACTGTTGAAATCATGACACGTGTTATTTTTTATATTTTTGGAAATTAATTAAATGATTTTTGAAAATTAAAAAAAAAAGACCCCAAGTAAATACCCAGAATCCCCAAATCTGAAACCATTTTTTCCCAATCTACCCTAATTTTCCCTCTCGTCTTTCTTCGCCGATCGAATGCACAGCCGTCTTGGCCTCTTATGTTTGCTATCTTCAAACTTTTAGGTTTAAAGATGAACATGCCATCCTTAAATTTCAGCAGAAGAAACACAACTGTTGAAATCATGACACGTGTTATTTTTTTATTTTTGGAAATTAATTAAATGATTTTTGAAAATTAAAAAAAAAAAGACCCCAAGTAAATACCCAGAATCCCCAAATCTGAAACCATTTTTTCCCAATCTACCCTAATTTTCCCTCTCGTCTTTCTTCGCCGATCGAATGCACAGCCGTCTTGGCCTCTTATGTTTGCTATCTTCAAACTTTTAGGTTTAAAGATGAACATGCCATTCTTTCTCCATCTGCCCAAATGGAATCTCTTGGAGTTGCCCCAAATAACACCTCCCTGCCTCTCATTTTCAAGGCTTGCACGACGCTGAATGCTGTTGAGAAAGGCAAGAAGAAACATTCTAGTATTCACGTTCTAATTTAGTCAAAGATGTTGGAGTTGGAACAGCTGCTGTCTTTCATTGTTAATGTGGGTTACTCGAAGAGGTCAACCAAGTGTTTGATAAAATAACTCATAGAGATTTGATTTCGTGTGATGCAATCTTGTCTGGATTTGTGGGCTGTGGTTTTTATGAGGAGACAATTGGGTTGTTTAGAAAGATGAAAAATGAGGGTTTTGAACCAAATTCACGTACTTTGGTTGCATTGCTTCTGTTGTGTGAGGGGGTGTTGGAATTGAGATTTGGAAAGGAGATACATGGGTATTGTTTGAGGAATGGATATTTCACTACAACGTGGCCATTTGCTTCTGTGAATGGCCCAAACTTTAATTTGGTTGGTTTTGAGAAATTACTTGCCTCTCTGTCGGGTCCCGAGGCCAATATGAAAGGTTCCTTCAAGTTGTTGAAGGCAGACGTGTCCGCTCAGGCATTTGTTAAGATTGGAGGCTATTCCTGAGTGGAGGACAAAGCCTCGTCGTAGGGATTACGATGTACTAGTACTGCTTTCATTGATTTAATTTTTTATTCTATTTATATAAAAAGTATTTTATCTATTATTCATTAAAAAATTATTATATAAATTTTTATCTTATAAATAACCGGATCAAATATAATTTATCAAAAATATTCATTTTAGTCTCTATAAATTTAAAAAAAAATTTTTTATCCTTCAAATCTAATTTGTTTGCATTTTGATCATTTTTAATAAGTTTTTTTGTCCTCAAAGTTTTTAAAAAATATTTCGATCTTAATTTTAAAATTTTATGGAATTAGATCTTATATGTTAATAAAAAAATAAAAATAAATTAGTAGATATTAACAAAATAAAGAATAAATACTCATATCGTGAAAGCAAATTAGTAAATATGTATTTTTTTATTTTTAGACACTTTAATATTCATTAAGTATTTTTAATAAATATTTATTAAATCAGATAAAATAAATATTTTTTTTATACCCGATACATTATCATCTCTGCCTGAGTGTATGGGGATGCATTTTGAGGTATTGGCTAAGACTGATGGCCAGAAGGCTGTATTAGAGAGAGCGGTGCGCGTCAATTCTGTGATTGTAGAGGACAAGGGGCTCCTTGTGTGCTTACAGGAAATGGGAGCATGTCCAAAACTCTTGTTGTTCACCCTTCTTCCAGTCATTTCACCTTGTAAAACTTTGGCGGGGACTGAATTTTGGCAAAACTGCTTGAGAAACTACAAATTTTTTTCCCACGTCCAGTTATACATAATGAGATAGTAGAGATGTACATTGTAGAAACATCTGAACAAAGAAGATCTGAAGAGACCCTTCACTGTTTGTTCTACGATTTGATAACATGAGCCTTCAATCTTGTGGTGTTTCTTATGAATCATTAATTGTGCTGTTATCAACCTTTTTCTGGTAGTATAAGCCACAAGCAATCGTCATGCAAGTTGCCTTCAACCTTAAGGTCATTGTGATTTTTGGTTTTTTTTTTTTTTTTTTGAGGAAAAAAACTAGAAAATGAGTTTAGTTTTACTGTTGATTTTTTTTTCCTAAGCAATTTTAAAAAATTAAAACAAGTTTTTGAAAGAAACAAAAGATATTTTTTGCTTTTTGTTTTTGTATTTTTATTTATAATACATTAGATTATCATTATTATCATCATTATACTCCACATCTTCACCATTCGTCCGCAATTATCACAACACTACTAATAACATCCTCTTTGTTATTATCGTAACCATCACTATTGTCATAGTATCACCACAACCACCATGCTTATTAACATCATCATTTTTATCTCCACCACCATCTTTTTTAACATTATTACAATTATCATTTACTCCACTAATACTATCATCATAATTTTCATAACTTTTACAAACACATTATAACAATTTTTAATGCTATCATATTATTGCAACCACTCTTATCATATACTTATCATCCAATACGACAATAATTTATTTACCGATAAAATTACAATCATAAAAAAATAATATTACTTTAATTATTATCATTAGTTTCAGTATCATATTAATCTTCATCATGTTATCATCACTATCTAATATCATTATTTAAGAACAAAGATTAAATTACACAATATGATTAGTTTTTTAATTAATAACATATTCTTGTATTTTAAAATCAGTATATTTTCCTCTCAAACCTTTTGTTAAAAAATAAATAATTTTCAAAAAACAATAAACAGTAAATAAAAAACAGTTTTTGATTTTTTATAAAAAAAATAAAAATCAAAACCAAGAAATATTACTAAACAGAATCGTACTTTATAATCAATTTTTTTAGTTCAAATTTTTTATCCCACTAAAAAAATTCATCATAGAATTAGAAAAATATATATATATATATATATATATATATATATATATATATATATATATATATATAATTACAACTCAATTCGTATCTCACTATGGTATTTAGCCAATGCCCTTTATAATGAGACCAATCGGTCCGGTTAGAAAAAAGAACTGGAAATATTTTAACAACTTGAGATTCTTCAAGCCCGACCCAAATATTCTATAGGTAGTTAGAGGGCTGTTAGAGTGGCCCAAATATGGACTTCAGAGTAACTTAATTAAAAAATAAGATCCACGTTGCTTATAGTTATTACCTGAAAAGCCGACTGTCCATATTTGGCCTACGCCTGTCATTGGACTGGTACAGAAACTGAAAACTATTATCAATTATCCAAAAATTTTATGAACGTGGGGGCATGCGTAAAATAACAAAAAAAAAAAAAGTTTCTTAATATTATTATTGAGACCTAAGAGACATTGAAGAGAGTTCATTGGCCTGTAGGTGGCAATGGTAACACGGCCTATCATGATATCGATCTTCGTTAAACAAAAAATTAGGATTTCTTGGAAATAAAAAGCTCAAAAAACTCAGAAGTACTGGTTGTATTTTTTTGTTCCTTTTTTGCATGCTTCCAAAATATCAAGAGAAATTGTTTCGTGTTCGAAAAAATCGAAGAGAAAATTTTTTCAAAGTTTAAATAAATGTTGCAAAGTGAATAGTAAAAAACAAGTCCATTTTAGTGGGTGTTTGATAAAACTAAAAATTAAATATTGAATATGTTAAGTATTGAATTTTAAATACTGAATAATTAAGCACCGAATATGTTCTTGACAAATTATTGGTATTTACTGAAAATTAAGTTCTGAATTTAATAAGCCCGTTGGATAAGTACTCGTTGTTGAACGCATTAAGGCTATATACATAATAATTTTAACCTTGTAATTATAATATGATATTTTTTTTAATATAAATAAAAATATATAAATAGATGTGTTTGTGTATACAAATAAATAGATAAATAAATAAAAAATCAATAAAAATAATTATTAATAAAAAATTAAATACGGTCTAAAATAATATTAATTGGCGTTTCAAATTGCGAGATGGTAGCATAGATAATGGAGAAGGTTTCCTCTGTTTTAGCAATGAGGATAGTAGAGATTGTTTTTCACTTGATTTATATATTTAAAGTTATAAAAATATATGAAGGCCATATAGTTATATTTGAAAAGTTTTAAAAATCTTTCAACTAAGCATGTTAGTCAAAAAGTAATAAGTTAAAAACTTTAACTTATCCGATTAAGTAAATTTTGATTGAACTTAAATTTTTAACATCGATTATTTAGGTTATCAAACACATTTTTATATTAAGTACTATAATTTAATTTTTTAAGCTACTTAAATAGGTTACTAAACATCATCTTAGTCTTAATCGACTAGATTAAGTTGAACTCGTTACATTATTTCAAGTAATGATACAAAACTCGAATTATGCTCTCACGATAAAAAATAAAACAAAATTTCTAAAAGCTAGCAAGCCTCTCGATAGCAAATAAAATTCAACTTAAGATGTATTAAAGGACCATCTCACCTAAAAGCTTAAGCCGATAGGTGCGGTCTCGAATATAATTTATATCGCCTCTAACACAGCCCTTAGGTGAAAGCCTCAATAGTTAAGTTTGAAACTTGCACGCATCCACATTGTCTTGTGCTTAATATTTGAGAAATTGAGAATGGTGAGACTTGAACTCGAACCTCTCGATCAACCAAGCTCGATACCATATTAAATGATCATTTCACATAAAAACTTAAGCTAATAAGTGAGATCCTAAAATATAATTTATATTAATTTCTAATAAGGTGAAACAGAGCTGGAAATTTTGATCAGTTTCCACTTTACACGCATCAACATCTTGAGGGCTGATCTAGAAATGTATAGCTTTGTAAATAAGTAGAGTAATATAATCTGCCAAAGAATGTTAGTGATGGGTTTTTGTTGACAGAATGAAGACAAGGGAATCAGAGCTATTTTAAAGTTGATAGAGATTAGTGATACTTTATAGCTAGAAGATAACACCAACTTCTTTTGTGCCAAAAAACAGTCTATTTAAATGGACAAAAGTATAAAACGGACCTCTCACAAAAATATTAAAACAAACAATAGGAACTTAGCTTCCACTTTCCCATGTGACTACCCTTCAGTAATCCGTAAGAAACCACATGATGTCTTGGTCTTCTTAATCTGCATTCAAGAAGCTGTCATTCAATAACCAATATCATTTATAATTAAAACGATATTAAAAATAACATAAATTTAAAGAAAAAATTTTACCCATAGTTTTTCTGCAAAATGAGAGGAGAACGATTAGGATGGCTAGACCTGCCAGTATACCAACAATAATGGCTACCGTTTTTCCCACATCATCGTCGTTGGAGGAATCTATACAAACACCAAAAGCAGCAAAAGCAATAGAATTAGTTCTGTGCAAATGGCTTGACAACAGACTAAACAAAGCTGCCACTACCACAAAGCATTTTTTTCTTTTAAAGCATATCTCCCCAAACCTTTTAATTCTGCTATGTTATTTATAGATATTACTTCTATAGATAAGTATTATAGCAAATAATTAAGTGAAAAAGGAAAATTTTCCACTTGGAAACGTTCAGACTATTTTATTCTTTAAGTCCATTTGATTTGTAACAAGATAGAGGAAGGATTAGAATCTTTCAACTACTTAGGGTTCAAAATGATTGTCCTAAGATTCCATCTTTCTCTTCTTTTCGAGCATCTGATCAGCCATTCAGTGGAACTTTAAGGGAAATCATGGCGCCTAATTGTGCCAACTGCAGAGTTGAAGGGTGCAATTGACCCAATCACTTAAAAAATAACGCAACGTAACACTTTTACTATCCACGAAGACTTAATAAAGCTTCCTAATGAAACAGATTTAAAGTGGGGTGTAAGTATACAGCTCACGCTTTGTACTGTTACTCCATTTTAATTGTTATAGCAGGTCTGTAATTTGAGTTCTTTGACTAGGAGGTGATTGTGGCTTGCTTGTAGGTACCCTCCTTTTCATATCCACGCTTTGTTCAATTACTCAGGCTTAGTTGTTATAGCAGGTCTGTATTGTCTGGTTTAGTTATTTCAATTGGTGGGTTGCAAGATTCTTTAAGAAAGGCTTCAATCTCTGCATTGTTGGAATGTCTTCAACCGGTTGAAACTGAAGAGTCGAATGAGAGAAGGTCGAGAGAGCAAATACTATCTACTGACATGCTTTGGGTTCTCCAACAGTACAAGAAATGTGACAGAGTTATTGTACCCACTTTGAAGGTATGGAACTTTTGTTTTCCTAACAAATATGCCTTCTCTCTGCTTTAGTTATTGAGGTAAACCAATAGCGACGAGCGAATAGCAAAATAATTTTATTTCAAAGCTTAAGTAGATAATTTTGCTTATGATGCTTAGGTAGTTGCAATTCATATTTTTCTTCCGTAAGCTGATGAACTGTTATTTTTTTTCCCTTTTCTTTTTCCCTCTTTCTGTAGCAAATGCCTAACGAATATTAGTATGCCTGTACTTGATGATTTGAGATAATGAAATTCCAAGGTTTTTTTTAACTGAATTTTAAGCTTTTTATGGAGCTTCAGAATCCTGACCACAACTCTTGTGTATTTCAGACAATAGAGATTCTTTTCAGCAAAAAGATATTCTTGGATATGGAGGTTAGTTGGCTCATCTTATTTTTCTGTTGCTTGGCCAATTTACTTGTGTGATACCAAATTCTAATCCTAGAAGGTTCTAATGATTCTTTCAAGACTAAATGGAGATTAACAACAGTTAAAGATTTTAACAATAATCAATTTTAGAATTAGATTTGCAAATCAAGAACCAAGAAGAACAGAAAATAAACAGAGAAATCAGGAAGAATAGTAAATTCAATATTGATCCAGAATAGCTCTTTTACAATGAATTATTCATGATTTATACAGTGTTTGTTTCCAACTAACTTTCCCTCTCAATCTAACAGCTATAACCAACTCTTGCCACGTGTGCTAACTAACTCCACTCCCTAACATTGACGTGCTCTTTCCTTTCAACTGATTCCATGCATCCATTTACTGGCTTATTGATTGTTTCCAAGCTTCCCATTTCCTCCTCTCTACGTGGTTCCATCACTGCCCTTGATTCTTCATACTCAGTTCCTTCCAAGCTCCCCGTTATTTCCTGCCCTCCAAGTGGTTCCATCACTGCCCTTGATTCTTCATAATCTCCTCACATCATTGTGCTGTTAGCATCTCTGTGTTTTTTTTGTTGAATTGATGTGTGGATCTCACTGTCAGGACACAGACTATTGCTTTCAGATTCTGATTTCACTGTTGCAAACATCTGCTTTTATTAACAGTGAGGATATCACCATTTCTTCAGACAAATGCAAACTGCTGCTATGAAAAGCATGAATGAGATGTCCCGATGGATTTTTTATATTTCTGTTCAATGGTTTGACCACATGCTGAATTACCTTCCCATTTCAATTTCCAGGACCGAACTCCAGCCTTTTGTGCTATTTTGGATTCCCTCGCCGTTGAACTGAAGGGATCTAGGGACTTTGCAAAATTATACTGTGGTATTGCTATACTTGGACATATCGCTTTACTCTTGGAAACCATCAATGCTCGGGCATTCAATCACCTTCTTACTTTGCTAGGCCATCCATATCCCAAGGTTTGTGGTCCGAAAAAATATTTGACATTTGGTGTAATTCTCACTCAGGTTGATTAGCAACTCAGGGAACTGAAGTCTACACTCTCTTTGTTTTTCAGATCAGGAAAGCTTCTGCTGAACAAGTTTACCTTGTCCTGCTGCAAAATGGAAATCTTGTACCAGAGGACAAGATAGAGCGAGCACTGGAAATTATTTCTGAAACCTGCTGGGATGGAGACGTTGAGGCAACCAAGCTTCAAAGATTAGAAGTGTTCGAGATGGCTGGTGTGGAATTGGGACAACTTGTCAAGCCTATAGATAAACTATCAAACAGGTACAGTGAGAAGCGGCCTGTCGCAAATGGTGAAAATGCATCATATTCCTCATTAGTCGGGTCAACTGGGTTTTGATTGATTACCCCCGACACCCATCTTCCCAATTTGCTTTAAGGTAACATTTCGAAAGGTTTTTCTGTGGGTTTTTCACGGAGTGAGGATCGCCCAATTTACTTAATTGTTGAATCTGTACAATTAGATTAGTCTATGTATCATTTTGTCAATTGTGCAACAATTAAATATGTCTGGGCCGTCCGACCCATATTTATACATGTCCGACCCATTCGAAGCTCATGGCCGGTCCAGAATGTAAACGGGTGAAAGTGTTTGGATTTATCTAGTTCCGAGGCAGACCTGAATCCATTTACTGTTTGCCGCTTCAAGGACCAAATTTAAAGATACTGGACTGAGCTTTGTTTATAAAGGCTTCCAAAAATTTGCCAATACAAGTTTATTTGCCTTTTTTTTTTTGGCAAAATTAACGTTAATTCTCGATATATATATATATATAATGAAATTTTTAATTTTTTTTATTTAAAATGTTACTAACGAACTTTGCCTTTTGTTCTTTCGTTCTTGTTTAAATGGACCTAAAATCAGATCAAATATGCTCGGAGACCTGTCGTGTGTTACGTATCATATGCCCTTCATTGCCATTCGAGGGCCTCCTAGATTTGACGGAGGTTCCACAATATTAAAATCAAATGTAAAGGGACCGAATCCATGAAATAATCTTTAAAGGTACTCGGTCAAAGCGACCGAGTAGAACAAACTCATGTAATTGACCTGAAGAACATTACGAACGGAAGCCTTGGAGGGATTAGCTGATTACAAAAAAGTTACACTCATTCCAAAAATATAAATTAACTTATTGTACGTCTCTTACGGCTTGGAGCCTTGATGCAAAAATGAATGTTATAGTATATCCTGATTGTTACAAACACAAATTCCATTGAATAAACGGAGTAATTCCAGAAGTCCTCAAAATAATACTTTAAGACCTGTCATGAATGACACAGCGTGTGGATGGATCTTGATGATACACCTTCCCTTAAAACAAGTGAAGGATAATTATTCATTTAGCCAAGGGAACACCTTTGGCGATGAAGGCAACCTTGCGGTGAGAACTTCTACTCCAGTTTCTGTTACCTGCATAACAATAGATCCAGCAAATTAGAAATATGAGATGCTACAGAGACGAGTATACAAGAAGGTATCACTGTCCAGTAACGAGAAATTTAAGCATGAGATATCACTGCAGTGTGAAAAGAGTCCCAGATATGGTACCCTGATGCAATTAGGATGCAGGGCCATTTGTCTAAAGCAACAGTGATAAAAATTAAGCCAAAGTAAATGGGGGTCATGAAGATAAACCAAAAGGTCAGTTACCAGAAGGGTATGCTCAAACTGAGCACTGCGTTTGCCATCTGCAGTGACAGCGGTCCATCCATCAGGCCACATCCGATCACGCCAAACCCCTATTAAGGAAGGAAATCATTTGAATTAAAAGCTGCAAGTGAGGAAAGCTTCAAGTAAAACCAATCAATTATAAAAACTTGTAAAGCTACCTGCATTAATCATAGGTTCAATAGTAAAGGTCTGTCCAGCCTTCATTACCCCCACTGCTTTATTTCCTGCTCTGGTTAAGGCAAACAATGCAAACAAACTAACAGATTGGCTGAATCTATTAGGTTATGTAGTCTCAAACATCGGCTTACTTTCTTTTTAAAATACAGTAAAAAAAGCATGATTTACTGAGGATACTTCCATAATGTGGAATATTCGGAGCACAATGGAAGAGCTCTCCAATACCATGACCACAATATGATTTCACCTGTTTTGAGAAAAAGAATGGGAAATTATTATCACAACCAGCCAGCTAACAATAAAGATGTGATCCAATGAAAGTGCTGAAGTAATTACCACAGACAGTCCTGACATCGTAGAATGACGATTAATGATTTCTCCAATTTCACGAAATCGTACCCCAGGTTTCACTAGAAGTAAAAGAGGAGTGCAAAAATCAGAACTAAGCACTAAGAATATAGATGGGATGATCTAACAGGAGGATAATAAAAAATCTGCAAATCCAGATCAAAGTCAAACAGGTAGAGCTTGGTGAAACATCTGAATTTGTCAGTTACTACATTTCAAAGTAGCACCCCAAACTTACAAGCCACTCACAAAGTTACCAATGCAACTTTTGGAAAAGTAGAATATTCAAGGTATTTCTATAAAACTCATTAACAAAGCAAGGCAAACAACACATACTAAAATTAAATATGCAATTTGCCAATAGATCAACTTAAACGAACATGACAGAATTCTTCTAATCCCCTTTATATATGAACATTAAAAAATTCAAAGAAGTAAAACATTGAGTGCATTCAGAAAAATCCAACCAAAACACTATATTTTCTTCCTCTATTATTCTTATACAAGCAAAGCATGGCATAAGCCAAAGTATGATCACACATGGAGAATTCTATCATATGTTCGCCAGATCATATAACCAGAATAAAAATAGCACATACCAATAGATATTGCTTTCTCCAAGCACTCATAAGTACATTGAACTAATCGTTGAGATGCTTCATCAACGTTTCCCACAAAGTACGTTTCATTAAGATCGCCTGTATAACGAATCAACCAATGGTCAAGGACTATCTTGAGCTATACTGGATTTATTCACAAACAAGTCATAAGGATCTCTTACCATGGACACCTTTGTAATACACAGTCACATCAATATTTACTATATCACCATCCTCTAATTTCCTGAAGCAACAAAAACAAAATAATTTCATGATACTAGAATAAATATCAGGAAATTATAAGAACTTAAGCAGTCATGATGCCTGTAAGGTCCTTTCATATTAATGAAATTTATGACTATACATGATAGCATGCTTGGGTAAAATTATATGGTTTATATTATTTTGACAAACAAAATAGGATTTAAGATCATGGTTTCCAAATGTATTTGTGCAAATTCAGTGCACAAGAAAGCAGAATTTCAAAATTTTACAAGATAGAACTTGACTCTACCTGGCATCAGGAATTCCATGGCAGATTACTTCATTAATTGACCTGCAATAGAAAGTTACACCCTTTTAATTTATGGATCACAGCTGAAGGAAACATATAGAAAAGGTACACAACATGACTACCTACGTGCAGCATGACTTTGGGAAGAAGTGATAATTTAAAGGAGATGGATATCCACCTACAGCAAAGTCCAAGGAAAAAAAAAGTTTAACAAACCATAGTTAGGCTGAATAATGACACTTATGCATAGTTAGACTGAATAATGACACCTATGCACTAGAAGTTAATTGACTTGTGACAACTCTCACTGAAAAACATAATCAGGAAAAAGAAAAAGGAACTAATTAACATCAAAATACCAGCTGCAATAGTTGCCTCATGTACAACTCTATCAATTTCATCTGTTGTCACACCAGGGCGAATGATCCACGCAGCAGCATCCAAAACCTCTCTTGCTATCTGATAATAACAAATGTTTTAAAGATTCATATACAAACAAGAGAACAAGGTGAACTCATGTCATTACAATTCCAATTATGGTTGCATATTACCGTTCATCACAACCAAATAAAAACTAGGAACATGCAAAAAATCAGATTTTATTCAGAAAACATTTCAAAATCATTACTAGGTGGAAGCTGTCTTCAATTACAATTTCTCAAGAACAAATATCCCATACTCTTTATTCTATTGCAGTCCATTCTTAAGCTTTTCTATGAAACCATCAATGAAGTCTCAGTTCTACCTAGTTGGAGTTGGTTCCGTGGATCTACTTTCTTCATTCAATTCTTTATGGCCTTAACACATTATAAACCGTTGTGATGCTAAATCAAGATGAGACTATCACATCCTACATTGATTATCATTAAATGAAAATAACCTTCACACCTGACCTAAGGGAAAATACACCATCCAAACCCTGGCCCCTTCCCTCAAGTGAAAAACCTCCAAAAAAAAAAAAAAAAACATGAAACAAGAATTGTGAACTACAGTGGAAAGCTACAGAGTTTCAAAGTTTCAACAAAATTGTTCCTGCATTAGTGGCCATGCAAAAAATATCATCCATCGTTTTTCACACAGCAGGAGCTGGTCTAACATCCCAGAAGGTTCATTTTTTTTTTTAATCTGTGACTTGGATTTCCTCATTCATAGCATACATATTTCTGTATTCTTGTTTTTCACCTAATTAATGAAGTGAAAAATAGAGCACAGATTGTACTTAGTTATCTTTACAGAAATGATAGCTGCACAGAAGATCTTAAAGGTAATTTCTTACATTGATGATTCATCAGATCTTAATTCCCATAATGGAGAATTTTGGCATGACCATTATACACAAATGCAATCATAGTTTAAGAATACAATGAAGCAAACTTGGCATGAAGGTTAAAAGACAAGAATGGAGCAAGACAGGTTCACTTTTGAGTATACTTTCAAAAGTTGGGAGGCAGGGCAACAACTTACTCGACAAGTTTCTCGCATTCTCTCAATTTGCTCAGGAGTTTTGATCTACATCATAGATATATAGATTTAGGAAGAGGAATCTAGAACAAAGAAATAAGTCCAACACAACTACCCATCAAACCATGAAGTAATTATCACATAGAACGTTAAGAATATGGTTTACCTCCACAACATGCTGCAAATCACTTCTGGGTTCAATCTTAGGGATTCCCTGAAAATTATTGTCAAAGTAGAAAGGCACATCAGTACTACATTATACCCCTGAAACAAAAATAAAGAGAGGTCCGATGGAAACATGGAGCATTCATTGGCAATCATGTGACATGACGAAAACAAATAAGAAATGAAGAGTCAATGGATAATACACACATCAATGTGGTCAATACTCTGCATATTTTATGGTCAAATTTCACCAAAATAAAAGATTAAGTAATAGCCACTACTGAACATTCAAACAGGAATTTAAAAAAAAAAAACTCACATCAACTGCCCAATCAGGTAGATCAATGTGAGCAGGAACGACACGATAAGGAGATATAGGATACGGTCTTAACCCCCTGCACAAAAAACAGAACTCATTCTTATTTCACAACAAATAAAACTAAAATTCCGCAACATAAAGGGTTAGGTAAATGCAATACAATCGAACAACAAAATCATCGATAAATACCCAGTCCAATCAAAATGTGGAAGTTTCGGAGTTCGACTCTGTCCTCTCCTCACACAATATAACCAACCTTCACTATTTCCATCCGAATTTTCTTCCGGCTTTGCCTTCGTATGAACTGATTTATGAGAGCTCCAAGATGTCTTAAAACAATCCTGCGAACTAATTAATAAACAAAATAAATAAATAACTTAATTTATCGAATTAAAAAAAGATCAATTTAATAGAATAATTGATTACCAGAAAGCGGCAGGTTCACGAGGAAGCTTTAATTCCATACATTTTGGACACCTAATAAATAAATAAACAATTATATAATAATTTTAAAAAAAAATGTTAAGCTAAATAGAGAGATTTTGGAAGAATTACATACTGAAGGTGAGCAGGTTTGCCGCATCGAGCGCATGATAATGTAACAGAAGATGTAGTATCCGTCTCATCAGAGCCACCGGCCATGAAACCCTAACCGTTATATTTCTGTCTTTGTCCTGCTCCAGTAGTAGCGGTGGCGGCAGCGGCTAGGGTTTTGAAAGAGGGAAAACGGAGGACACGTAGAAGAACCGGCGGAATTTGAAGACGTACTATAAGTGAAAACCTTAGTAATGGTCAACCGTGACACCTGGTTGATTTTTATTGCGCCGCATATTGCAACAAAATAAAATAGGATAAACTATAATTTTGCCCTTGAGATTAATCAATGTTACACTTCTACCCATATGGTTTGAGAGTTTCCAATATAATCCTAGTAGTTCTTGCAAGTTTCCATTTCGTCTTTTACTACTAAATAATAACTAACATATACTTGCCTTTTTCATATTTTTATTTTCTCTAGTGTTTCCTCTCAAATCCACGTATATGTTATCATATATACAAGAAACGCTTACAAAACTTTTTTTAAAAAAAAAAAAACATCAATAGCAAATCCAAAATATAAACATAATAGTTAGGGGTAAGAATAATGATTTTCTACTTTTATGATGTATCACTTATTCAAATGAATACCTACCTATTGTTAATATCCCTAATAAACTCTATATTTATAGATCTCTCTTTTAAATGATAACAACTTTCTTCGTTTTCTTTCTCGATTCTTGTCATGCGAGTTTTTTTTTTTAAAAAAAAGAGAATTCTTTTATCAAAAGGATTAAGTGAAAAGTAAACATGAATAGGACAATAAACCATAGAAAAGTAAGGTGATAATTGCCTTCAAAAAGTTATTTTAGATGATAACTATCATGCTTTATACGCTACACGACAAATCAAATTAAATATATTTATTTTAATTTGAGAACATATATTATATTATCGATCAACTAAAATATATTAAATTAAAATTAAAAAATGAAATTTTATCTAATTTTATAACCTTTAATCAAAATTTGTATCAAATTTCAAAAATAAGTATATTTAATTTATATATATTTATTTACAAAAAAATGAATAATATTAGTATAAAAATTATATTTGAATTATTAGGCGGTTTTTTAACATAAATTATTTCAATTATTTTATTTGAAAGAAATTAATTTTAAATCATTAAAAAAATAAAAAATGATTGGTGTTATGTATGTAGATGCATAATTAATTTTTAGTAAAACTAATAATTTAATATAATTTTTTTTTACATTATGACCATACTCACTAGATCATAATGTGTAGTATAAACCAAAAATTAAAAATTAAAAAAAAAGTTGTAAAAAATATATTTAATTTAATAGAGTACAATAAAAAAACTACAAAATTGATTTCGATAAAATTTAATTATATAAAAAATAAGCAAATAAAAACAACTAAAAAATATATATTCAAAAATCCATGCATAAAAAAAACCATAGCTATTAACAAATAAAACTAGATTAAAAAGAATAAAAAATTTGATGACAATTTTGATAAAAAATGACAAATTCAAAAGATCAATTTTAAAAAATAAGATTAATATAATCCTATATATATATATATATATAGACACACACACACACACACACACACAGATATATATATATATATATATCATAATCACTAAATTATGTGAAAAAAAATAATTTATTTTTTATATTTTTGACACCAAATTCAATAATAAACATAAGTTGGTGAAAAAAATTAAAGAAAAAAAAAAGGCATGCCAACACGCCTAGCTTATGTAGTTTCAAGGTTCATTTGGGCTTGCAAAAACAAGCCCAATACAAGTTGTGCTCTTGAGTGTGCAACAAATTACGAAATCAAAAATTTCATTTTAAGCCTTTAGAATCTAAAATCAAACATGATATAAAATTTAAATATAAATACCTAAAAATAATTTGTAAATCACAAACATACCAACCATAACTACAATATGTCAATAGTGATTTTCAAGGAAGTAAACAATGAAATATCACTTGTCATTTTCCCCGCTTGTTTTAGTTGTTTAGTTAATGAGCAAATTAATTCTATTCAATACCTCAAGTTCAAATTTTATTTCTAACTTTTTAGAAAGGTGACATATTTATATCGAATTAACTTTATATAAAAAGATATTATAAATTTAATTTCGAGTGGCGATATAAACATAGAGGAATCTTTTTAAATATAAATTAAAAAGCTCAATTAATATTTCATAATAGGTGTACAATCAAACTTTTTATACATCTATTTTTGTAACCAAAGAACGAAAAAAATACTAAAGTGATAATTGGTTAGCAACGAGGCTTTAGAGAGGCCAAGAGAACATAATACCAAATATTTTTGGGTTTAGTGGGTGGACAAGTGAAAGCCATTATTACGGTAAAAATCATTTAGCTTAGGTAAAAACAAAGCCTTTAAACCTTCAATTAAACTCCAACCGACGAGGTACACCAGCCACTCGGAATCCATGACTCGCCATTGTATCCTCGTACTCATTGTAAGTAGCCTCCTTAAGACTTTCAACAAGCATATGAACACCGTGCCAGTTCACCCGTTTTTCAATAGATGCACCAATACTTGTGTTATTATACTCTTCATAAAACACACTAATCTTAGCATTTGGTATTTCTCCTGGCCTTTTATATTCTTTCCACCTTTTTGGATAAATTAAACCATCAAGGTCTCGTCTCAAAATATACTCTCCTTAAATACGTCCGCGATGGCGTGCCCAACGAAGTTTTAAAAGAATTTCAACAACGAATAAAATCCGGTGTCGGCCTAACACATGATCCTTGTAAAGGAATTCTTGTATTTTCACTAGGATTATGTCTTCCTTGTGCGCTTATCGTGTTCGTTGGTTCTTCATTGGTTATCTTACAAAGATGTCATAATTTTGGAACCCTACCGCAACATTAGCACATATGATATCGAAGGTGTCGCAGATATGACAATCACGATAGCATTGTCTTCCGTAATCCACTTGGCTTAGACTCGCCTAAGAAGGGCTTTTATGCCAATAAAATCCGTCGCCAGCCTAATGCGTGAACCTTCGATAGAAAATCCTATATTTTCATTTGGATAACATCTTGCTTATGTGAATTACCGAGTTCTTTTGGTTGTCATTTGGTCTCCTTACAAAGATGTCGCGATTTAGACCACCATCATAGCATTACCGGATATAAAATTGATACTCGTCATATACGTGACAATCACACAAAAAATTGCCTATTGATCAAGAAAGGAAAGGAGCGTATTTTGGTAGCCTTTGAAGCTACAAAGATAAAACACCAACCCGTCCGAGTTAACTTTCAATGCCACCGCCAATTGTCCATGCTCTATTTTCAAATGTCATCTTTCTAGCTAAAATCCATCTCCAAACATTCCCGTGCAAAAAGAAGAGAAAATCAAAATCATTTGAAATACATATTGATGAGGCATTGTTGTAGCAAGATTGAGTCACCGCTTTTGGCACTTTAAATAAGTAAAACAATTCATCATAACAAGTTGTGCATACCGAGTTAAATATGTTCCCATTTCAATGATCTTACTAAATATAGCGATATTGTTCATGCCAAGACCATCATATGTGAAACTTCTTCCGTCGGTGACAATGGTTCTATCTATGCCATCACCCACAAACATCAATTTTTACATTTGCTCCTTAATTTCCACCATTTCATTATACACCCTCGCTTTGTCGTAGATTATTACTCTTTGGTTTGTCGGGTTCCAATTTTGACAAGCACAGACTGGAGCGTCATTGATCGTTTTGTGTGTATCACAACCATATATCCTTTCGCTACTATGAAGTCGACCTTTCAAGTTATTGGATTCCATGATGTCAAAAGTCCCTCATTTGGTTTTCTTGAAATGCAAAATCGGAAGACAAAGTAATCTCTTAGGACTTATTAATTGATAACCTCAATTATCTTTCAAGAAAAAAACATGTAAATGAGACTATAGGTGAATAGCCATACCAACATATAATTACTTCTTTTGATGCCACTACCAGCCTTCCTATTCAAAGCGGGGCTTTAACAACTTGATCAATTTGGTTTGGATGTTTTATAATGTCTCCAATTCTTTGTGCGAAAAGAAAGAGGTGGTATCCGCGGCTACGAAAAGTAAAATAATAGAGGTGGAGTTAACATTTTTGTTTAATTTGAAGATCAATCTATGATGACAAACATTGACTTTCACTTTTTAAGTCGTTGGAAATTCATATATATGCGTAAGAGAGGTGAAAAAGTTCCTAAAATTTTGATAAACAAACGGAAGAGTGAAAAAAAGATATACAAGTAATAATAAAATGCAAAAAAATTTAGAAGTGAGTGTAATTTTAAAGAATTACATCTCGAAGATGTATAACTTGCCGCATCGCCGTGATAAGCCATAATTCAAGCCGCCGAATCAATTCCTCCATCTTATCTTCCGCATAGGCAAGTCTACATCAACTCGTCCTCCTACCGTGAAGGGGACAACAACAACGACTGCACTGGGGAAGGCTATTTTAAAGAAGGCGAGTTTATCGTGTTGGTCTCAATAGGAAGCAAGCTTCATCGAGGGGTGGAGACGACAACATTAAAGAGTGGTGAGCGAGTGTTGTTGATGTTGCTTTTGTTGTAGAGGGAGACGTAACGTTTACAATTAAAATGCTTATAAAAGATTTAATTTTTTTAAAGAACAGATTATTTTCTTTTTTCTTAAGTCAAGCGAGTCTACCAATAAACATTAAAAATGTCTTGTTGTCACCTTAGTGCTTACAACCATTAACAGTTTAATTTGAAATACATTGGGCCGGATCCAATCTAAACTTGTCAACAAAAATAAGGTTATGAGTATTGTATTTTTAACTCAGCCCAAAATGATCCAAACATAATTAATAACTCAAATTTTGGAGGTTCCGTTAGATCGGTTCATAGGTAACATTTGACTCAACCATTATTTAGAAATATGAAACAGTGCTTTCTTTTTTTGCTTTGATTAATTATGTGAGTGTGACTTTAAAAAAAATATTTATTAAAATTCAATTTACATTTCTTGATATAACGGATTGATTGACTTTTTCAATTATGTAGAAAAATTATATTAGTATATTTGGGAGTTTCGTATTTGAGTGTTTTTACCGTATTCGCATAACATTAACAATATAATAAAGATCTCCCTATTAAGTTTACCGAATCAATATAAAAGTATTGTGCACACGTAATATAATCCAAATATTTTTAATGTCGATAGATAAACAATGGGAACCATTATTATAGTGAAAGTCATACTATTTAAATAAAAGTAAAGGTCTTTAGACTCTAAGTCGATAGGCTACACCAGTCTCGGGAATCTATAATTGTCCTTGTAGTAAATTTCTTACCGTAAAAGGACTATCCTCCTCAAAATTTTTAAACATATGAAAACCAAGCCAATCCACCCCGCTTTTAGTAGGTGTACCACTGCCTCTATTCTTAGACTCGCATAAAACAATGTATCAAGATGAACGTTGCCGTCCCATGGTAACCATCCTACTCGGATCAATAAAACCATCAATGTGTGTCTCAAAAATTACCGTCCTAGAAAACTTTTTCCATAGCTCGCCTAAGAAGGAAGGGATGTTTTTTACACCAATGAAATTCGGGCTCAGCTTAATGCGTGATCCTTGAATAGAAAGTCTTATACTCTCATCGGGTTTATTTCTTCCTTGTGCGGTTATTGCGTTCTTTTAGTTGTCATTTGGTCTTCTTACAAAGATGTCACAATTTCGCAACACCACTCGCAGACATTACCAATTATGAAATCGATAGTGTCGTATATGTGACAATCGAGATAAAATTGTCGCTTAGATCGTACATAAAATGTGTTTTGGTAAGCTTTGAAGCTACAACGATAAAGAATGAAATGCTCGAGCTCACCATTAGAGCCACCACTTGATTTCCATCCGGCCTCGTTGTGTTTTCAAATGTCATGTCTCTAGGCTAAAATCCGTCTCCATATACACTCGCACAAAGTAGAAAGACCGAGTTAGGGTAAGACTTGAAATTTGAGATAAATATTGTTGACGTAAGGCTCTAGTGAGATCGAATCTCTACCCTTAGCACTAGGAAAAAGAAAGAAGACATAACTCAAGAATGCCTCCCATTATATAGATAGTCTTAATTTTGCCTTTGAATAATTTTTTGTATCAAATTTGTTCTCAAATTTTAGAAACTCTCAATTAAGTTTTTTCATTTATACTTGACTATTCCATCCAAATTGTTCTAACGAAGGATCACATTGTGAAATCAAAATAAATTAGGAAAAAACTTAGATACAAAATTTGGTTGGAGGGCAAAATTGATACTAAACAATATTGTTGGGGCTTTTTCCCAAGGATAAGAAAACCAACAAACCGTATGATTTGAAAGACGCTCCAATTTTAATGATCTTACCGAATGTAGCTATCTCGGACATGGAAATACCATCGTGTTTAACATTTTTGTTGCCAATGACAATGGTTTTATCCATGCCATCGCCAACGAACATTAAAATTTCCATGTTACTTGTAATTTCTACTTGCTCGTTGTAAACCCTAACTTTAACGTAGATTATCACTCTCGATTTCTCCGAGTACCAGCTTTATCAAGAGTTGTAAGTGGCGTCATTGATTGTTTTGTGTGTATCGAGCCATCTTGTGCCACTATGAAGTCGGTTTTCTTCGAAGTTGCTTGGATTCCATGATGTCAAAAGTTTCCCATGGCCATTACGTTTTCTCGAAATGCAAAATCGAAAAAGAAAGGAAAAAAATTAATCCCCCAAAAAATGGCATGGCGGATGCAAAATGAGCATATATTTGGATTTTGGAGTTAACTTTGGCCTATTTTGCAAATTTTTTTGGCATAGAGTATTATAGTAAAAACAAGGAGATGGAGTAATATTTGTTAGTTTAAAACCTCAATTATTGTTTTTTTTTTTTTTAAATAGTTTGAGAATGTGGCCATAAGTGAAATAGCAATACTAATATATACTTACCCGTTTTAACCCTTTACCAGCTTTTCCTATTCAAAGCTAAAGTGTCATTAGCCTGATCAATTTGGGGTTGGATGTTTTCTAATGTCTCCAAATCTTGGTGACAAAGGATAATGGTGGTAGCTACGGCTAAGAGAAGGAAAATGGTGGCGATACTAATTGACATTTTTGTTTAATCCGAAAATCGGTCCGTATATGATGACAAACTTGAATTTCAACACTTTGATAGGTATTGAAAATCAAACATAAAGCTTTTTTCGATGATTATATACTAAAGTTAATCAATGTTGTAACATTCTAATATTAATTATGACATTCATTTAACGTAATTAAAAATTATAAATGCGGAAGATGAGAGGCAAAGAAGTTCCAATATAATATTTTGTCAAACTAAATGAAGTAATTAAGATTTTAAACAAACGGAAGAGGTAAGTTCAAAGAAAAAACATCCATTTATTAACAAGCAATCAATTTCCTAAAGTTACTCGTTAGTTTTTTTGTCCGCGTTACGTCGTGGGTTGAATAAAATATATAAAATCGTTTAAAAAAAATATATGAAATCAAAGATGTTTTTAGTAAAAAATTTTGTATTTAACTATTTCTTATTCGTGTTTTTCATAATTTTTCCTTTAGAAAAAGGATTTATCCTTGTTAATCCATGAATTATTAACTAAAAAGAAAATTAAATAATTTTTTTTAAAAAAAGCTTTAGTATTTCATAAGATTGTGTCAAAAAACATAAATAATAACTATTAAAAGCTTACATGGAATTGAAAAAATATTTTTTTATTTAATGTTGATGAGAATATCGATTTTTGAAAAAATATGAATTTAATTTTTATATATTTATTTACAAACGAATAAATAATATTAAAATAAAAACTATATTAATCTGAATCATTGAGTGGTTAAGCCAAAAAATTATTTTAATTATTTAATTAAAAATAAATAAATAATTAAAGTAGAAAATTTTAAATAATAAAAATAATTAAAAGAAAACACTAAAAAAAATAGGACCAAATCATAATAAATTAAAATTTAAAATTGAAAAAAAATAAGTATAGAAAAATTGAGAATCAAAGTGCTAAAAAATGACATAAATAGTGAAAGGAATAGTGATTTGTGAGTGTGTAAATAATGATTTATGAATATGATGTCTCAAATAGTGAATATGAATAGTAAAACTATATTTTACTTTATTTTTTTTTAGTAATTATTATTATTTTTCTTTTCTTGAAAAAGAATTTCCTGAAGTTATTGGTCTCTTTTCTAACCATGGAATTAATTGTGTCCATCACTTGCTACGCTCTGAATTATGATTCTAGTGGGAAAAAATATTACAATTTTTTAATACCAGGTACTATAATTTAGATTAAAAAAAATCAATTGACAAAAACGAGAATAGTTTTGGGCATCTAAGAAACAATTATACGATATAATAATAACAATAATCAAATTTTCAAGAGGAAGTAATTTTAGGGAATTACATACGTGCTGAACTATATTAGCTAATGCTCCAAACATGATGCGTACAAAGATTGCAAATTTGCATGTGCAAAGGCTACAACGGATGCCTATCCTGGTGGCGTCAACAAGGAAGCAACATTCCCTGAGGGATGGAGATGGGCTAAAAATATGTGTTGTTCTGAATTCCAATTAACTCAAATCTGAACATGACCTAACCTAAAACAATCCAACCCAAAACTCTCCAACCTTACCCAATTGCTATCCAAGTCTAGTCTACTTAAATCATTTTGGAGAAAACAAGGGGTGATTGAACAAATTAGTTTAAAAGAGGTTATTTTGAAGAATATATTGACTCAAACATCATTGTATTGTACAAGTATGAATTTTATTGTTTTGACAATAATCTCCTTAATCATATATTTATATCTACAATTCTTGGATTAGTAGTGGTCTTAAAGCACATGATTAATAATTCTTTTCATAATTGACGTAATGAATTTGATCATACATGCTAAACTTTTATACAATTTGAGAAGGGAAAAAAAAAGAGATGAAAAAATTTATGAAAGGATGATATTTTATAAAAAAAAAATTAAAAAAATTTATAACAAAAATGTTAACGAATTAAAGAATAAAGAGATGCCTTAGATGTCAGAGAAAATAATGTGGCAATCAGTCATTGAAATTAATTATTTTTTGAAACGGTCAAATATTTAAAATATGATTATTAGTTTGTTAATTAATAATTTAATATTTTTACTTTTTTTTCCAAAGCATATGAAATATTTACAGTGTAATAATTTTTAAATCGATCATATAGATTTTGCTTGTAATTAAACTGATGATGTTTTTTCTAACAACTTGATTAATACACGTGCCAAAATGATAACTAATATTTTCAACTAATCCCAGACCAAATTCTAATTAGTGCAGCGTTGTTGCTTTTAGCCATAGAATATT